CCATGCATGGCAGGGCATTCCCTCCTCACCTCTATTTCTTAGAATCCTGTTTCCTTAAAACTCAGCTCAAATGCCACCTTTTACATGAAAACTTTTCTGATTTTCCCTTGCTTTTAGTGCCCTTCCTCAAAATTAATTGTTTATATTTTGTTCATATTTTGTATACTAATGAGATCAAAAAGTTGTCAAAATTTTTTTTCATAGATTTATCCAAACAACTTGTCTCTCCCAATAGAATGAAAACTCCTTAAGATCAGGGACTATTTCATTTTTGTATCAATATCCACAGTGCCCAGCATATACTAGGTGCTTAGTAAGTGTGTGTTGACTACTAGCATTAAAAAAGAAGATGCACTGGTCACCTGAGGAGAAGGAGGGAGACCATGTAGACAATAGCTTGAGGGATCCATTGGTATTCTCATTTCAAGAGAAAATTAAGAAGGCCCTCAGCACTTTGGAAGGAACCCTGTGAAAAACTTATGGGAGAATATTAACAAGGGTCATGCAAGATGGACAAGCTGGTTGGGTTGCACTCTAAAAAAGCAGCATTACTTCTTGACTTACCTTTGTGATCATTTTAATCCTTACACAAGTGAAGGTCCCAGCTAGCGGAAATTCTGTTTTGTATCTTATTCTCAATAATAGAGAAAGCTGGATGCTAGAAGTAGAAATGATGGGAACTTTGTGGGAGTGGGCATCACTCCCTCCCAGAGTTTATGATTGAGAAGAAATCTGGGTATAGTCTGGCAAGCACACTAGATTTTGGTAGGGTAGATTTCAAATGGTTCAGAGAAAGAATAGGTAGAACCCCATGAAGAAAAATTCTACAAACAAGTCAGCCTAAGAAAATTAGGAAACTCTCAAGAATGAAATTCTGAAGTCAAAAAGAGAAACAATTCTGAAGAAAACAAAAATTGAGAGCTGTCTAAAGATATCAGTGTGAATGCACAGTGAATAGTTCAACCGATTTAAATTTTCAAAACGTATGTACAGATGATGAAAGCAAGGAGAGGTAACAGAGATGAATATGAAAGTGTGATAGATCTGTGAGAATTGTGCCAGATGGGCTTTAAAAAGCTGAGAATGAGCTGGGGCTGTTAAAGAAAGCAAAGGTTAACAAAACAACTGCAACAAACAAAACAAAACAAAAAACAAACAAGTTATATTGGGGCAAAGAGAAGTATTAAAAAAGACTAGGGGGTATAGGACAATGAGACTGACAACAGGGAGAATTTCCACAATTCTTATGGAGGCATAGTGCTGGAGTAGAAATGATAGGGTCTAGTCTTAAAACTGGGGAGATCTAAGTTAAAGTCCTACCTCTGACACAAAATGGCCATGTGGCTTTGGGCAAGCCATTTAAACTTTCAATGTGAGCAACTTTCTAAGACTATGAAAATGCCAGCCTGTATCAGTAGAGGGAGCTTCATCAGCCAGGAGTTTCCTACACCTGTGAACTCACAGATCCAGTCTTTATGTCCACCTATTCTTTCTCTGTCAAGGAGACTGACTTTTGGATTGGGAACGAAAAAACAGATGTAGCTAATTAGTTGATATCCAAGGTAAGTAAGGAACTATTAAATGAACACCTAGTAGTCCTTCATGAATTAGTCACCTGATTCTATATATATCTAATATATCCTATATTAATGAAAGAACTGATGGACATGATTATTGAGTCACTGTCAGCAACATTTGAAAAAGAATAGAGTTTGGGAAAGGTACTGCATGACTAATTAGTGAACCTAACTTCTATTACTGAAAATTCTAGAAGAAATTATTAAGGATATAGCTAGTGAACAACTATGACAGGAAGCAATGAGTACAAAGAATCAGACATGGCTTTATCAAGTACAATTCAGGTAAGAATAACCTTCTGGGTTCCTAAGTTGGTAGACCAGGTGAATGTTGGAGATATAGTTTGCCTAGATTGTGGCAAGGAATTTGGCAAAGTATCTAATGGTACAATGTGGAGGGTAAAAAGAGAGTTAAGAGCTATACCATTGTGTAGATGGGTAGAGTACCAGTGGATAGATTTTGAAATAGTTTTTTTTGTTTGTTTGTTTTTCTCACTCAAAGAGTAGTTGTTAATGATTCAGCGTGAATATAACAAATTCTCCATAGAACTGTCCTAGGTATTTGCTTTGTCCCATGCTGCTTAACATTTTTATCAGTTACTTGGATAAAGCATAGATACCATATTTATCAAATCTTCAGATGACACAAAGCTGGAGGAGAAATGGGGGATGAAGGGGAAGCTAAAAATTGGATAACAGAGTCAAGAGTCCAAGAGATCTTGAGCTTTGGGCTTACTGTAACAAAACGAAGCTTAATAAGGCTAAGTATAAAGTTTTAGACAGGTTCAAAAACGTCAACCTCATAAGTACAAGATGGGGGAGGCACAATTAGCCATTTGTATGAAAAAATATCAAAAGTTTATGAGTCTACATTCTGATGTGACAGTTAATGAAAGCTAACATGCTCTTAGACTGCATTAAAAGTGTGCATCACTTCCAGCAAAAGGAAGCGATAGTCCTGCTACGGTCTGCCTTAGACCACAGTGTTATTGGGCACCACAGTTTAGGAAGGACTTTGATAAGCTAGAGAGTATCGAGAGGAATGCGAGCAAGGATCATGAAGAATCTTGAGTTCCTGCCATAAAATCATCGTCATCATCACATTATCACCTAACATGTATATGTTGTTCAGTTGTTTCAGTTGTGTTCTGAGTGTGACTCCATTTGGGATTTTCTTGGCAACAACACTGGAGTGATTTGTCATTTCCTTCTCCAGTATATTTTACAGAAGAAGAACCGAGGCAAACAGGATTAAGTGACATGCGCAGGGTCATGTAAGAGTCTGAGGCCAGATTTGAGCTCAGGGATATGTCTTCCTTGACTTCAGCCATGGCACTCTACTGTGTCACCCAGCTGCCCAGCATTTATAGAATTCTTACTATATGCCAGGCACTGTACTAAGCACTTTAGAATTAATATCTCATTTGATTTTCATAACAACCCTGGGAGGTAGGTACTATCATCATCCCCATTTTATAGATCAAGAAACGGAGGCAAATAGAGGTTAAATGATTTGCCCAGGGTCATACAGCTAGTAAGTAACTGAGGCCAGACCTGAACTCGGATCTTCCTGACCCTAGGGCTAGCACTCTTGGCACTACTACCTACCCATATAAGTTAATAAGTTAAAGTTAAATAAGTTAAAAGAGTTGAGGAATAAGTTAAAGGAATTGAGGATGTTTAGCCTGTAAAAGACTCAGAAGGAATATTTAAGAGCTATCATATGAAAGAGGACTTAAGACTTTTTAAAGAAGACTTGTTCTTAGGCCTAGAGGGTAAAAGCAGAAGCAAAAAGGGGTTTGATTTGTTTCATAAGAAAAACTTCCTAACAATCAAAGCTATTCAAAAATATTATTGATCTCCTGGAAAAGTAGTAAGTTTCCCATCATTGGAGGTTTTCAACTAGAAGCCTGATGGTCACTTATCTGTGGCTCTGTAATACATAAAATACATAGACACATACACGCACACACAGACACAGATGCAAGAGTGAATGTAAACTTAAATAGTAGCATCATGGGTAAAAAGCTGTCCTCTGAGTCACAAGGATTGGGATTCAAGTCCCAGCTTTGGTACATACACTCTGTATGACCGTGGGCAAGTTGGCTAACCTCTGAGTGCCCTCAGGTGACTTGCTGTGGCCCTAAATTGCACAACTGTGACCAGGCTATATTAGTAGAGGCAATTTCCTCATCAAGAGTTTCCCATGGCAATAAAATCATGGGTCTGATCCAAAATAGATGACGTATTCCTAAGGCTTGTGAGAGGCCTCTCATTCTAGTGGATGGCCAGCTGAAATGCCATTAAGTAAGAGGTGCAATATATGAGAAGCTTGTGAAGGCAGCCCTGAACTGAGCCATCTTCTCCACTAATTGTAATGCCCCAAAACCCAAAGCAGATGACGAAGATAATTCATCAGAAAAAGACCTCCTTCAACAACTGTGGTGCACAAAATATAGACCTTGAAATAAGAAGTAAAAAACAATACTTAAAAAAGCTAGGCCCTCTGAAGTAAAAAAGACACAATGATGAAGTCATTTTGTGTACCATTTTTGCCTATAGTTGTCCATACTTTACAATGGCTTGAGTTTCACAGGCCTGGATAAAGTATGCCTTGTTAGGAAAATCAAAGGGCATATATAGGGAAGCCTTATGCTAAATGAGGGACTAGCCAGTTTGGGGATATATAATGACATGGTGTATATTGATGTGCTGTTAAACTGAAGTAAACCAAAGATACATAAATGTTTGTGAATAGAATCATTTATATGCTAAGGAAACACCAAACATTTTCCACTGAGGCTTCAGAGTTGGAAAGAGATTGATGACCACCTTCCCTGCTCTCACCCTCTTATTTGACAAAGACTGAAAATAGGGCCTGCTAGTTCGCGTGTGGAATTTTTTTGCTTTTCGTAATAGTGGCAGAAGGCAGAGGGAATGAGGGCTTGGAGAGGGTGGGTGGAACAAAAAGGGCAAGGTGATTTTCTATCAATGCAATACATCTGTGAATGAACCTCAACTAGATTCCTGACTGCGAAGCTACTGACAATACAGAAAAGAATGAGGGTTTTTATAAGTTTCCATTACAATTGCCCCATAATTCCAGGGGAAAGGAAAAAAGGAGATGAAATTCTTCAAAACTGCCCTAAATTATTCTGGCACAAACCCCTACACAATAATTCAACATCAATATGCTGAAAGATTAAGCAACTAACAACAAGAAATAACTAGCAAGTCATTAATTGGTCTAATGACAAAAAACCCCAAACCCCAAACCTTTCAACCGACAAAATATGTATTTCACACATAGACTTTCAGGAAGGGTCCCATGGTCTCATCATATCAATGCTACATAAAGATAAAAGATGACGTAAAGACAAAAAAGAAAAAAAAATAACATGATGTGAGGTAAAACTTACTTACTTTAGAATAATCATCAATGGCCAGTAATTTGTTCCCTACATAAAGTATCTCAGCTCTCTTGAAATAGATGTCATCATCTGTAGGCCTACACTTAATTGCTTGGGTATAATTTAGCAGTGCCAATGTAAAATTACCTCTTTTCCTGAAAATTTCAGCCTTTGATAAATAAACATCTAAAGACAATAAAATAAGGTAAAATTCAGTGTTGCAATATTTTATTCGCCAATAAAAACAATTTCCTCAAAATAATACCCTTAGTTATTTTTCCTTAAAAGATCTTAAATTTAGAGATTTTTTTAATCAGTGAAAGCTGTCCAATTTGTCCTCTTGTGTTTAATAAACTACTCACTAATGTAATTTAAAAATGCAATTGTTTGTTATATATTTCAAAGTATAAACCAATTTTGAAGTCATAAAATATAGCCTTATGATGAAATAGAAATATAACGTTGGTTAGCTATGATGTTAATAAGACTAATATCATGAGTTTGTTCCTAAGATGGGGTGTTCTAGGGCTATCTTCAAACCTATGTCTAATCTGTTGTTTCTCAAACTGATATCATTAAGCAGAAGAGGGAATGGCCCAAAGGATACGTGCAAATGCACCATCATTATTAGGATAATAAACCAAGAAATCATATATACCAAGAGTTGGGTAGAGGAATGGAATAATTATTTTTTATATGAAGGACAGAATATAATTTAAAATATAGCTAATACATAAGCAAAAGCTCAGATATATTTCAGAACCCTATAGGAAAAATTATGTTGGTTGGAAAATACTGTTTAAATCCAACCTTATGTGATTAAAGGTTATCTGAACCCAGAGTGTTTCCAGTAACCCTCTAGAAATGTTGGAGATGACAATAAAGTATTTTAGGTTCCCCCAGGCCCTGGATTCACCCAGAGCATTCTTGTTTTGTGTTACCATACCCAGGACTTGTTTAGGGTTTCCCCAAGCTTGTGTTTTGAGTTTCCTTCAGTAAGTGATTGTGTTCAATACATTTATCAGATGATTCATGTGTGACTCCTCTGTAAAAATCGTCATCTAAATCCTATATAATGTGAACCTTTCAGATGAGAGGGAAACACACCCCTTTTCCAGCTCACTCTCCTTCACCAAATGACCTAACGTATTTCTTTCCGAAACTATTTTCAGGAACTAAGAGGGTAGAGTATAGGCTGGGACCCAGCTGAACCCTCCCAACATTTCCCCTCCAAACAATTTTAGGACAATGCCTCAAATCAAATTTTGGAGAAGCAGAGAAAACAAAAGGCTAGAGGGAGACATTTTTCCATCCAAAGACAACTTAGGAGGTCTGCAGGAGAGATCTGTAACACTGGGGTGGGTGCAGGCTCGGAGTATAGCTCACCAGTAGTGAGCCTTGGAGGAGGCAATGACAGCAGCAGCAGCAGCTTCTGGAGCTCTCAGTCTGGAGACAGTAAGGGGATTGGATAACTGGCCAGAAAGAGATTATGGGGTGCCCTTTGCCGGCATCAGGTACAGCTGGCACTAATTGGCAATTTTATTCCCCGTAAGTAATTCTAGATTACAGTTCCAGGATGGAGAAGAATGCTTGTGATTGGTCACAAGGGATACAGTTCCAGGGCCAAGAGGACAACTAGCATTTGTAGCTGAAGAAGAGCAGTGTACCTGATCACAGTTCCAGGGCTAAGAGGAGCACTCGTTCTTACAGTTGCAAGAGAGCAGAGGCCCTTTCTGGTAAAGACCAGAGTATAGAACAGGAGAGCAGTGACCACACCTTTCACAGGAAAACACCGTCTTGGAAGCAGACCCCTAGAACTAGCTCTGAAAACAGCAGCACAAAAAAGCCTAAAGCTTAGGACACTGACTACTCACCCTCAAGTGAGCAGAGCTCAACTTTAACATAAAGTTCAGTCAAGAAATAAGCTGTAAAAATGAGCATACAACAACAACAAAAGAGAGCTTGACCATAAAAGACTACCATGGTAGCAGGAAAGACCAAGACATAAACTTAGAAGAAGACAATAATATGAAAACAGCTACATGCAAAGCTTCAAAGTAAAATGTTAATTGAACCCAAGGCCAGCAAGAATTCCTAGAAAAATTAAAGAAAGATAAGAGTGGTAGAGAAAAAATTGGGAAAAGAGACAAGAGTGATACAGGAAAATTATGAAAAGAGAATTAATAGCTTGGTAAAAGATGCACAAGAAGTACTGAAGAAAATATCACCTTAAAAAATAGAATTGGCCTAATAATAAAAGAGGAACAAAAATTCACTGATGAAAAAAACTTTTTAAAAAGCAGACTAAGGGGCAATTAGGTGGCTTAGTGGATGGAACAGCTGCTCTCAGGTCAGGAGGATCTGGGTTCAATTCCAGCCTCAGACACTTGACATTGTGTGACCCTGCCCAAGTCACTTAAACCCCCATTGCCTCCACAAAAAAAAAGTTACCTAGGGGGCAGCTAGATGGCACAGTGGATAGAGCTCTAGCCTTGGAGTCAGTAGAACATGAGTTCAAATCCAGCCTCAGACACTTGACACTTACTAGCTGTATGACCCTGGGCAAGTCATTTAACCCTGATAGCCTCATCAAAAAAGAAAAAAAAAGCAGAATAAACCAAATGGGAAAAGAAGGTACAAAAATTCATTACAAAAAGGATTCCTCCTGGGAATTGTGGGAAGATGGCAGAATAAATCAGGAAATTACCTGGCTCTCCCAAATACCCCCCCCCCAAAAACCCTTAAAATAATGCCCAAAGTGAATGTTAGAGTGACAGAAATTTAAAGTTGGGGCAAAGCACTTGTTCAACCTAAGACAACCTGGGAGGATATTAAGAAAAATCTGACCTATCAGAGTGGTGGTTTGGCCAGAGTAAAGGGCAGATACTGCAGTGTTAACAAACAGCAAGCCCTAGGGGTAGTAGTGCTGGGGCAGCAGCCTGGGTTTCAGGAACTTTTGCCCTGCTGATGGTGTTGGTTTCAGGCATCTGATTAGGGTGAGATTGTAGGGCCCTCTGCTAACACTGGATGTGGGGTCCTACTTCCGGCTAGACATAGTCCCAGGCTGTGGCCATGGGGTGAGTGCAGTTGTGGAGGGGCTGGGGCTCTGGTTGTGGTCACTCACAGAAGAGCAGAGTCCCTGGTTTTGGATCCATGGCAGAGGGGCAAACTGATGCTTTCGGCTAGGGAGGCCTGTGAATTGCAGGAAGTGAGAGTGTTTGCAGTGGCAGTGGTGTTGGGGCCCTCATAGAAGCTTAGGGGTGGAGAGGAATACCTGATGTCACTCAAATACCAAAGTGTGAACCAGAGGAGCAATTACCTCACCTGGCCTCAGCACATTGGAAGAACCAGAAAAGTCAAAGACAACCTTTTATGTAGCTCTGAAAACAATAGCACAAAAAACCTGAAGTCTGAGACATTATCCCCCACACCCAAGGAGCAGAGCCTGACCCCAACATAAACTTGAGAGCCAAGAAATAAGCAGTTTAATTAAAAAATGAGTAAACAAAAAAAAGAATTTGACCATAGATAGTTACTATGGTGATAGAGAGGATCAAGATTCAAAGTCAGAAGTCAAAACAACTACTTGCAAAGCATTAAAAAAAAAAGTAAAATGGTCACAAGCCCCAAAAGAGTTCTTGGAAGAACTTAAAAAAGAACTTTAAATAACAGAACTAGAAAAGAAATAGGAGTAAGAATAGACAATGAGGAAATATCTCTTTTTGCAGACAATATGATGGTATACTTGGAAAATCCTAGAGATTAAACTAAAAAATTAGTTGAAACAATAATTTTAGCAATGTAGCAGGATACAAAATAAATCCACATAAATCATCAGCATTTCTACATATCACCGACAAAGCCTTGCAAGAAGAGATAGTAAGAGATATTTCATTTAAAATATCCATAGACAATATAAAGTACCTGAGAGTACCTCTGCCAAGACAAATCCCGAAATTATGTGAAGATAATTACAAAACACTTTTTATACAAATAAAGTCAGATTTAAATAATTGGAGAAATATTAAGCATTCATAGGTGGGCAGATCCAAAATAATAAAAATGGCAATTCTACCTAAACTAATCTACTTATTCCGTGTTGTCCCAAGAGCTAGGAAAAATAATAAAATTCATTTGAAAGAACAAAAGGTTGAGAGTATCAAAGGAAAAATGGGGAAAAAAATGTAAAGGAAAGAAGTGTAGCAGTTACCAGATCTTAAACTGGGTTATAAGGTGGTAATTATTAAAACTATGTGGTACTGGCTAAGAAATAGAATGGTAGATCAGTGGAATAGAGTAGGTATAAAATACGCAGTAGTAACTTATTATAATAACCTTGTGTTTGATAAATACAAAAATCTAATGGGATAAGAACTCATTATTTGGTTAAAAAATACAGCGAAAGCTAGAAAGCAATCTGCCAGAAACTAGGTATAGATCTTACACCGTTTTCCAAAATAAGGTCAAAATGGATACATGATCTAGACATACAGGGAGATATCATAAGTGAATTAGAACATGGAATATATGACCTATCAAATTTATGGGTAGGAGAAGAATTTATGAATAAACAGCATGATGGAATGTAAAATGGATAATTCTGATTACATTTCATTAAAAAGTTTTTGTGCAAATAACACCAATGTAGCGAAGATTAGAAGGGAAGCAGAAAATTGGAGGGGAAATTATAGAGTTTCTTGTACATAGGCTTCATATCTCAAATATGTAGAAAAATGAAAAAAAATATTTAAACTTATAAGAATATGAATCATTCCCCAATTGATAAATGGTCAAAGGATATGAACATGCAATTTTTGGAAGAAGAACTTAAAGCTATATATGGGCATATGAAAAAATACTCTAAATTGCTATTGATTAGAGAAGTGCAAATTAAAACGACATTGAGGTACCATTTTATGCTTATCAGATTGGCTAAAATGATAGAAGGGGAAAATGACAAATGCTGGAGGTCATGTGGAAAAAATGGGAAACATACACCATTGGTGGAATTTTGAACTAATCTAACCATTCTGGAGAACAATCTGGAACTATGCCTAAAGGGCATAGCCAACAATGCCGCTACCAGATCTGCATTCCAAAAGGAAAAACGAAAAGGACTTACATGTTATATATATATATATGTGTGTGTGTGTGTGTGTGTGTGTGTGTGTGTATTTATAGTAGCTCTTTATGTGCTGGCAAAGAATTGGAAATTTGGGGGATGTTCATCAATTGAGGAATGGCTGAACAAGTTGTGGCATATGATTGTGCTGGAGTATTATTGTGCTACAAGAAATTATAAGGGGTGTGGTTTCAGCAAGACCTATATGAACGGATGCAAAGTGAAGTGAGAAGAACCAGGATAGAGTAACAGCAATGTTGTAATGATGATCAATTGTGAAAGACTTGGCTGTTCGGATCAATATGGTGATCCAAGACAATTCCAAAGGACTCATGATGAAAAAATGCTATCTACCTCCAGAGAGAGAACTGATGAATGCAGTGCAAGCTGACTCTCTATGGCTAATATGGAAATGTTTTTCATGATTTGACATGTATAACTGATATATTATTTGCCATCTCAGTGGGTGGGGGAGGGGGTTGGAGGGAGGGAGAGAATATAGAACTCAAAATTTAAGAAGAAAAAAATGCTAGTAAATAAGTAAAAATTTTGGAGGCAACTAAGTGGCACAGTGGATAGAGCTCCAGCCTTGGAGTCAGGAGGACCTGAGTTTAAATACAGCCTCAGATACTTGACACTTACTAGCTGTGTGACTCTGGGCAAGTCTCACTGTCCCCTCCCACCCAATGAATAAAAATTTTAAAAGGAAAAAAACTATCAGATTTTAAGGTCTGCACTTGTGAACAACCACCCTGAATGTGAAAATGTAGCTAGATAGAAAAATATATACCTCATAGCCATTTACTGTAACATTTACATTTTTCAATTACAGTAATGATAATAATAATAGCATTTATGTAGCACCTACTATGTGCCGAGCATTGTATTAAGCACTTTACAAATATTATCTTCTTTGATCCTCACAGCAACACTAAAAAGTAACTGCTATTATTATCCACATTTGACAGTTGAGGAAACTGAGGTAAACACAGGTTAAGTGACTTGCCCAATATTAAACAGCTAGTGTGTGGGGCAGAATTTGGACTCATGCCTTTCTGATTCCAGACTCAGCATTCTATCTAGTGTGTCATTTAGATGCCTCCCAAAACATGGTTTTTATAGTGACTGTAAGAGAAAGGAAAAGACAAAATTTTAGGTAAAAAATATACATATATTTACTATCTCTATAGAAAACCTACCTGCATTATTTTTATTATATTTAGTTATATAATTTAAGTCATCTAAAGCATCACCACTTTTGTCTTGGAAAATATATATGAAATGTCGGTGCCAATAAGCATTAAGTAATAGAGGTTCTAAGAATATAGCCTAGGAGGAAAAAAAGTATATTAAATTCAGTTTTACTTGGTAAGTGTTCATATATAAAAAACAAAACTTGCAAAGCACTTTATTGTGAAATAACTTCTTACTCAAGGAATAAATTCTAATATTAATAAACTTCGAGAGTAAAATTATAGGGTCCAGAGCTAGAAGGGGAATCAACTACACCCAGTAGGAAGGAACATCAGAGGCCATCAAATCTGGCCAAGAATTCCCTCTACAACAGCACCGACAAGTGATCATCCGGCTTCCACTTAAAATGCTCCAGTGAAGGAGAACACACTTCCCCACACCCTCAGGGCTAAAAATGATGTCTGGAGTGGAACACAATATTCCAGATGTGGTCTGCCCAGACTACAACAAAATGATCACTTCCCATGTTCTGGAAACTATGCTGCTGTGAACACCACCCAAGAAAGAATGAGGTTTTGGCTTTCTTGTTTTTATTGTAAGAAATTTAGGCTCAAATTCAGCATGCCAGCAATTAGCAGAACTTGGATTTGAACCTGAGATCTTTGACCAAAAATCCTGCTCTCAATTATAGCGTTTTAAATATTGGTCTTCATCTGAAAAGATGAAAAATTATATTTCCTTCATTCATTTCAGTAGTATGTCAACTCAGTTGTTGGACAAGGATCACACAGTTGTAGTACCAAGAGTAAGAGTGATGATTATAGAAGCTCTGAACATTTTTGATTTGGGACATTTATGCTTTTTGGGACATCTCACTTTTTTTTTTTAACCTCTCCACCACTGTTTAACAGCAAATGTGGAGTGGTCTAGGGGTCACATCTTAAATTTTCTTATGCTACTGTAGCCAAAGAACTCATTCCTGAATTCATAACCAGTCTACTGGTATTTAAGTAGGTTGGTCCTCGGACAGCAGACAGAATCTGTGGCCAGTACAGGACACTCAATATGTCTTCATTCTAAACATTAAAACATTTCTCAAACTGTCAAACTGCCATCATAATAAAAGTCAAGCATAAATGATGATATGAGTTTCACCCGGATGCAATTTACCTCTTGTAGATCATTCATGGCCTTCTTTAGTTTGCCTAGTTTTCTATAAATAGCCCCACGTCGGCCATACAGGAAAGCAGCCATTTTCTTTTTCTCTTTTATTTCTTTAGTCAGTCTCTCTACTTCAGTCTCCAAATGCTGCCTAACAATCTCGGAGAGATCTGGATTTGAGAAATCACCAAATTCTATTTTTTGTAGTTTTTTTACTTTTTCAGGTTTAACTGGTTCAACAGAAGTTTGAATTATTTCCTCCTCAACATGTTCTGGCTCTCGAATTGGAGGAATGTCTTGTAACTCTTTAATCCAGAAGTCCAAAACCCATTGCTGAGGGTCAGTATCTTCCGGAATTCCACCATGCTTCTGAGCAAATTCATCAAAATTTAGCACAGCAGGCAGACTAGGGCAGCGACTTCGACGGACATACATAGGCACATGGAGAAAAAATTTCTTCTGTTCCCAAAGAATGACAAGAGATGCTGATCTAAGTTAAAAAAAATAATTTTACTAAAAAATTTCATTTTGCTACAGTTGGTCAATTAATCTAATTAAACTCCATGCCAATTTTTCTTAGTTACTATTTATCAAAGCCAAATTATATGAATATCATTTGTGTAACCCATAACACTCCACCATTTACATTAAGTAAAAGGGAATTTTGTATGTATGTATATATGTGATGCAAAGTCTATGAATATAGATATGCTATGAACAAATTGAATATATTAAGAGTATTAAATACTGATGTACTGAAATCAATATTCCTTTCAAGTCTGACTTCCAATATTCCCAGAAGTAATTTTATCTTAGCATAGTGGCAAAGTTAAAACTAGACTTGAGAAGACCACTGATTTTAGGCCATAGTTAGACTTATGAAAAAGTGCATGCCTACTGAAAGAGTTGGGAAGAATATAATGAGTAAGATTAGACTGAGAATTTGACATTCCATCAACAGAGCAATGACAAGAACAATTTTAACCCAATTGGATTACCAGTAAGACTCATTTAGATTGTAAGATCTTGCTATTTTTCTCTAACCTTTATCCTTCTCCATACAGCAAAACATTTCCTGGGAACAGTGGGAAGAATTTTTGGTTGCTTTCTAAGAAAACTAAGACGCTTTCTTAACTCCAAAAGAGACACTATATTTGAAACATTTGCAGGGTATTTGTGGTAAAATACTAGCTGTAAAATGTTATGGCTATTTAAATGTATTTTCATAAGTTATATTTTGGAAAGTTTAGATTTGTAACTGGAAAGGATTTATAGTCCTTTCAAATGAAGGCAACCTGTATCACAATGTATTTTTTTAAAGGCAAAAAGAGAGGGGCTCTGTATGTTACCTTTGTTGAATGAGAATTGTGGAAATTCTATTCCATACAAAGTAAGAAGGCATGTCTTTGTATCAATTCTCTTAAATCTCTTCCCACTTCTGCTGTTGCTTCTAGGTTAAAAAAACAGGCAATCCTATTTTGGGCTGAAATGCAAAATAGCCCACCTATAAAGCTAATGTTATTTAGAAGAAGGCTGCTTTCTCAACTATGTGTCTGTCACAAAATTAAGTTTCTACTGACTTGGCTCAGATGTGGTCTTTTTACTGCAACAATAGTCTATCCTGAATCAAAGTCACTAAAAATCAAATAAGATAATAGATGTAAAGTATTTTACCAACTGTGAAGTGATTAATAAACATGTGCTTTTGTTTTTATTGAGACAACTTTATATTAATCAGTGAACACTGGCAGCTAGGAATTGCTGTTCAAGAGGGGCTCTCTCCTTGGACAGGAGAAAATTACTTTCTTCTGATTAAAAGAGAGGCAATCTTAAGTGAGATCATGCTGCTGTGTAACTGTTTCTCCTTTTTACTAAACCATTAGATAAAAGAGATATAAAAAGTCAGAAAACAGCAATAATCTAATTAATGAGAAATAAATGGTAGGAACACCAACTAAGGTCCCTTTCATTAATTCTTAAAAGCCTAAGAAGAAAAAAGGATCAAATAATGAATAGAGGTGATCATAAAAGATAAAACATAATTTATTTTACAAAAAGTAAACATTTTGGTTTAAGGAAAGTCAAAGAAGCTAGATTAGAAAGAGAAACCACTAACTGAGCATACGTTCTTCATAGCAAATATCGCTGATAAAGATCTGATATCAAAATAGAGAATTCATGCAAAACTGTAAGAGCAAGAGCCATTTACCAATAGATGTCATCAAAGAAAATTAAAGAGATAAATTTCCAAGGAAGAAATGCAAGCTATCAAAAACTATTAAAGGATGTTTTAAATCATTGATAACAAGGGAAATACAAGTTTCACCTCATACTCATCAAATTGGCAAAGATAATAGAAACCAAAAATGGTAAATGATGTAGCAGATTTGGGAAGATAGACACACTAATGGGAGCTATGAATTAATCCAATAATGCTGAAAAATAATTTGGAATTATACTAGAAAAATCATTACTTTATATACCCTTTAACCTCACAATAGTACCACTGGGCACATACCTTGAGGAGTTTCTTTATGGCTATTTTTGTCACCATATTAACTGGAAGTCCCTATGATATTTTGTGTCCATGGCTATCCAAGATACTTTTAACATCCACTCATAGTCCTCTTCTTCTACCCCAGGGCCATAGAACTATACATTTGCCTCATACCAGCACCCTTAATTATCATGACCTGAGGAGATCGAGATAAAAGAACAGAAATATTTGTAATAACTATAAGAGATAACATAGTACAATAGACAAGCTTGCCTTGGGGTTGAGATGACCCGGGTTCACCTAACACTTCTCACACATTTTGGCTACGTAAAAGGCATAAAAGCCTTGAGAAGGTTTTTCTCTGCATATTAAGAAATATGTGATTGATTAAAAAGCATACTATTTAAATCTGAGGGAAAACCATGATCAGAGTAAACACAGGGAATGACTGCTATTGCGCCTAGGACATGGATTCCTCTACATTTTGCTTTTGATCTTTTTAAAAAAGTGTTTGTTATTCTTTCTCACTATAATATACCCAAAAAGAGGTCATCCAGCATCTGCTTGATGCCCTCCAAGGAGGAGGAAACCCACCACTTCTCAGGGCAGTTCATTCTACTTTTGAAGAACTCTACTTATCATGAAATTTTTCCTAACAGCAGTTCTAACTTTGCCTCTTTGCAACTTCTTCCCATTGCTACTGACTCTGCATCTTAGGGCCAAACAGAACACATCTAATCCCCTCTCCTTCACATATACCTGAAGACAGCCATCATATTCCCCCTGAGTCTTCTCTTTCCCATATTAAACGTAGTTCCTTCAACTAATCCTCACATGGAAAATGACATTGAGAACTTGCAGTGGGACTCAAACATTTTAGGGCACAGACATTTGAAAATATGATTTGTATATTTTTCCCCTTAATAGCAAATTATTAGACATATTCACCACTATTGTTCTTCCTATGTTATACCTACTGTTCTCTATGGTATGCTCTCCTGTGACTACAGGAACTCTAATGCTATTCTCTCTGCTAGGACCCTGTTGGCAGGGTCCTCTAGATTTGTTGAAGGATGATGTTGAAAAGGTTGTACCAACCAGGATACATAAATATGGATAACTGATTCCTGACAATGGTTCTTATAACAATAACTCAAGTAAAACATATATTGGAATAGGTATGTAATGGGTATAGAAAGAAGTCCAGAATTTATTGGACATACATCAAACTCTTATTTGGACGTACATCAAACATTTGTTCATGGTAATTAAGGGTGCTGGTATGAGGCAAATGTATAGTTCTATGGCCCTGGGGGTAGAAGAAGAAGACTATGAGTGGATGTTAAAAGTATCTTGAATAGCCATGGACACAAAATATCATAGGGACTTCCAGTTAATACTGTGACAAGAATAAAGAAACTCATCTTTTCCACTCAAACTCCAAAAAATATCTAGAAAGAGCCTTAGAAGGACCAATGATAAAGGAAAAAAATCCTTTCTTCATCTAATCCAGAACTGCAGAACCATTCTGGAAATCAATCTGGAACTATATCCCAAAAAGTCACTAAGTTGAGCATACCCTTCAAGCCAGAGACACTGTTACTAAGCTTATACTCTAAATAAGTCAAAGAAAGAGGAAAGGACTCATGTACCAAAATACTTATAACATCTCTATTTGTTGCAGCATAAAATTTAGGAAAAAAGTGAGTGTCCGTCATCTGAGGAATGGCTGAATAAATTGTGCATGTGGAATATTGTTGCACCTTAAAAAATAATGAGGGGCAGCTAGGTGGTGCAGTGGATAGAGCACCGGCCCTGAATTCAGGAGGACCTGAGTTCAAATCTGGCCTCAGACACATAACACGTACTAGCTGTGTGACCCTGGGCAAGTCACTTAGCCCCATTGCCTAGACCAAAAAATAATAATAATAATAATAATGAGAGAGACAGATTCGGAGAAACGTGAGAGGATTTGTATGAACTGAGGCAAAGTGAAGCAAACAGAACTAGAAAAACAATTTATACAATAATTACAACGTTGTAAAGGAATACAACTGTGAAAGACTTAAGAACTATGAACCATGTAATCACATCTCTGGAAGGCTGATAATCAAACATGTTTCACATCTCTTGGAAAGGAGGTAATGAACTAGAGGTGCAGAACAAAATATATATTTTCAAACAAAGTCAATATGTGGATGTTATTTGTTACAAAGAATGCATATATTTGTTTGGGAGGATTTAGAAGGGCAGTAGAGGCTAGTGGAAATGATAGTAATAAAAGAAGAAAAGATTAGTAGTGAATCATTTTTTAAAAAGAGGGAACAGAAGGAATTCCAAAAGGGGACAGACAAGAAGGGCAGTATCAGAACTAGAATGTTAAATTTGAAATATTATATATATATATTTATACATATATATACACACACACATATATATATATATATATACATATATATATATACTTAAAAATAAGCTATATATTACAGAGATGTACACTTTCACATATAGTCTTTTCTGTTCTTTTGTATAGAGAAATGGTCATGTTTACTGATGTTTATCAGGGTCATAAGAAAAGGAAAAGCCTTTTAAAAAGTGGAATTGATAATATGATTGAGAGTGAACACTCACACAAAAATGACCTAATTTTTTTGTAGTTTACCCTTATTGTGGCAGACAGTCACTAGTCAGTTTCCCTGGTCACTATCTTTAAAGTATCTGTAATTTATACATGTTTTCATATCATTTTGTACTTACTACTTTCTCTTTGTCTTTCAATCAGTCATGTTCTTTATTTATTTTTAAGTGGTGTGTGTTGAACTTTGACCCATATGAGAAACATTTGGAGACAGAGAGGGAATCATGTTAAAAATCTTTTCTCTCTTATATGCTTAATATTCATGGATTCCTGGAATTTCAGCTCCTTACTATAATAAGCAAATTCATGTTTATAAACATAGCAGTTTTGTGTACTAGTAACAAAAGTAAAATTAAAAAAAAACTTACTACAGAACAATTTGTTAACAAAAAAGAAGCCAAATACTCAATTAAATTCAGTCAATTTACCTAGGTTGGGTTTAATTTTTTTCCTCTAGTCTAAAGGATGCAAAATGCCTCTTTTGTCTTCTTCCCCCATCTACCGGTTTTCCTTCTAATATAACCAGGTGCTTTCAAATCAGGTAGACAGCTTTCTTGTATCTTCTGTAAGCTCGAGGGGCATATAGTTAAACTATACTGTTAACTAACCATATTGTTAGTTTCAAAATAATGGAAAAATAAAGTTATTTTAATTAAGCTAACATTTATGTGACTCTTAAGTTTGTAAAGTGTTTCTTGTATTACCTTATTTGATAAAAGATTTCCCTTTAACAAAAAGTTAAACATAATATGCTTTATCAATATATACATTATACTTTATGATCGTATGTGCATGTATATATAGCATTGCTTTTTAAAATATGAAATTCTAAGATTTAAAGACACAGGTTTAAGTGCATTCTTTTTTTTTAATTTTTTTTTTAATTTTTAGGCAATTGGGGTTAAGTGACTTGCCCAGGGTCACACAGCTAGTAAGTGTCAAGCGTTTGGTCTGAGGCCAGATTTGAACTCAGGTCCTTCTGACTTCAAGGCCAGTGCTCTATCCACTGTGCCATCTAGCTGCCCCCTTAAGTGTGTTCTTTTAAAAAGAATTGATCATTTAAAAAAAAAAACAACCTTTCAAGAGTCTTTGGAGGCTTTGATAATTCTTTAAGCAGTGAACTTATTTTTTCAGTATTCAGCTTTTTCCTTAATTTCCTCCTTCTTCTCTTAGGAAAAATAATGTAATTAGCTCTTGTTTTTCGAACTTCTACAGGGTGAATTTCCTTTTCTTCACCATGCTGGATTGACTTTTCTTGTAAATTAGATGGTGCAGTCACATTTAAATTTTGATCAGTATCAATGCCTTCTTTATTTTCCTGAGCCCTCGTCTTTAAAACGTATTCTCTCTGAATCATTACTTCATTCAGGTTACTTTGTAGATCATCAGGTACCATTGGTGATATTGAATCACTTTGAAGAGTAAAACTAAATATACATGATGATCTCTTAAGACTTTTCTAAAAAGTTAAAAAAAGAAACCTGATTTAGTTGTTCATATCCAATGCAGGGAACTACAAGTTTTATTAATTTCTAGAAATTCACTTAATTTAATTTTAAATATGCAAAGTTATATTGTAAGCATATTATTCAAATATAAGTTTAGCAATATTAGTTACCCAATAATTACACTACTAAAATTAAAGAATACATTTTAGACAATTCTGACCACCAGAGAAGACAGGAATATATACAGCCAACAGAAAACCAAAATCATAGAAAAACCCCCCACCAACTTTCAAGAATGACTCATCTACTACTATAGTTAGAGAAACCCCTTAATTGCTTAATTGTGGGTGCAGCTAGGTGGCACAGTGGATAGAGCACTGGCCCTGAAGTCAGGAGGACCTGAGTTCAAATCTAGCCTCAGACCAAACACTTGACACTTACTAGCTGTATGACCCTGGGCATGTCACCTAATTCCAGTTGCCTACAAAAAAAATTCTCAATTGTGCTGAAGCTATTTCTCCAAGAATGAAGGAAGCCAGATGAGCAAAGAAGTTGTCATTGGCCCAGGGAAGGAGTGAAAAAATGAAGGAATAGTGCTTGCTGCTCTCAATCAAGAACTTGCCTGGTATTAATGAAGTCTCTGTTCCTTCTAGGATCAAGGGCCAGGGACAAGAAAGGAGAGCTAAATGTTATAGGGAAAAAAAGGAAGGCAAAAGCCAGTCTGTACATTAGATTCTAAGCTCCTTAAGGGCAGGGATGGCCTTTGCCTCTTTTTTTTTTGTCTCCTCAGCACTTATCCCAGTTCCTGACACATACTAGGCACTTAATAAATGTTCATTGATTGATTGTTAATTAATTGATTGCAAGCAGAGAAAAGTATGAGCAGAAAAAAAAAGATTGGCCAGTTCCATTGCAAAAGCAAAGGATAACATGCCTGCATATCCCATTGGAATCCACTCAATGTTGAGAGAACTAAAGAAAGGTTCCTAGGACATTGGCTGATTTATGATAGGACATGAACAAGAATCACACAAGGTATTGCACAAATAGGTTGCAATTTGTGTCATTTGAAGACGTACACTACCTTAGGTAACACATTCATCAAAGAAATCAAACAAATACAAAAGAATGAAAAAAAATAGAAGAAAATGTAAAATACGTCATTGGAAAAACAACTGACCAGAAAATAGATACAGCATAGATAATCTCAGAATAAATGGATTACCTGAAAGGCATAATCAAAAGGAGGACCTAGATAGCATCTTTCAAGAAATTATCAAGGAAAACTACCCTGATATCCTGGAACCAGAGGCTAAAATAGACATTGAAAGAATCCACTGATCACCTCAGGAAAGAGATGCCAAATAAAAAAGGCAAGGAATGTTATAGCCAAATTATAGAACTATTAGGTCAAGGAAAAAATATGGCAAGTGGCCAGAAAGAAACAATTCAAATATCAGGGGCACATAATCAGGATTACACAGGACTTTGCAGCTGCAACATTAAAGGATCAGAGGTCATGGAACATGATATTCCAGAAGGTAAAAGAGCTAGAACTACAACCAAGAATCACCTACCCAGCAAAATTAAACATAATACTCCAAGGGGGGAAAATGGTCATTCAATGAAATAGAAGGATTTCAAGCTTTCATGAGGAGAAGACCAGAATTGAACAAAAAATTAGATCTCCAATATTAAGACACAAGAGAAGTCTAAAAAGTAAAAAGGGAAAGAAAAACATAAGGGATTCAATGGAACCGAACTGTTTACATCCCTACATGGGAAGAGGATATTTGTAATTCTTAAAAATTGTACCACTAATAGTACAGCTAGAAGGAATATACATAGATAGAGGGTACAGGTAAATTTGAAGGAATGACAAAAAATAATTAAGGGATGAGAAAGAGGAGAGCACTTGGTGCAGAAGGAAGGAAGAAGTAGAATGGGGCAAATTATTTCACATAATGAGATATGAAATACCTATTACAGTGCAGAAGAAGATGGGGGGTGGGCAATGGGCATCACTTGAGCCTTACTCTCATCAGTATTGGCTCAAACAGGGAATAATATAAACAATAAGTTGAATGTAGAAATCTATCTAACCAGACAGGAAAATAGGAAGGGAGGAGATTAAGAAAAAGTGATGGGCAGGGGTGTGGAGTAACTGACAGAAGAGAGAGCAGATTGGGGGAGGCAGTAGATGGAAGCAAAACACTGGTGAGGAGGGAAAGGGTGAAAGGAGAGAGAGAGAACAAACAGGAGAAAAGATAGGATAGAGGGGGGAATATACAACTATGAATGTGAACGGGATGAACTCTCCCATAAAAAAGAAATGGATAGCAGAGTGAATCAAAAACCAGAATCCTGCAATATGTTGTTCACAAGAAACACACTTGAAGCAGAGAGACAAACACAGAGTAAAGGTAAGGGGCTGAAGTAGAATCTATTATGTTTCTGCTGAAGTTAAAAAAAAAAAAGCAGGGGTAGCAATCTTAATCTCAGAGAAAGCAAAAATAGACCTAATTAAGAGAGATAATAAAAGAGATAAAAGAGATTACATCTTGCTAAAAGATACCTGAGACAATGAAGTAATATCAATACTAAACATATATGCACCCAGGTGGTATAGCATCCAAGTTTTTAAAGGAGAAGTTAAGTGAGTTATAGGTTCATGACCAAACCATAACAGAGAGCATTATGAAATGTAAAATAGATAATTTTGATTATATTAAATTAAAAATATTTTGCACAAACAAAACCAATGCAACCAAGATTAGAAGAAAAGCAAAAAGCTAGGAAACAATCTTTACAGCAAGTCTCTGATAAAGACCCCATTTCTCAAATATATAGAGAACTGAGTCAAATTTATAAGAATATAAGCCTTTTCCCAATTGATAAATGGTCAAAAGATATGAACATAAAGTTTTCAGATGAAGAAATCAAAGCTATCGATAGGTTTAGGAAGAAGTGAAGTAATCCCTTTTGATTAGAGAAATGCAAATTAAAACAACTCTGAGGTACCACATCACACCAATCAGATTGGCTAACATGACAAAAAAAGGAAAATGATAAATGTTAGAGAGGTTGTGGGAAAATTGGGATACTAATGCACTGTTGGTGAAGTTGTGAACTGATTCGACCATTCTGGAGAGCAATTTGGAATTATGCCCAAAGGACAACCAAACTGTGCATACTGTTTGATCCAACAATACCGCTACTAGGTCTGTATCCTAAAGAGATCATAAAAAAAGGAAAGTGACATACATGTGCAAAAATATTTATGGCAGCCCTTTTTGTGGTGGCAAAATATTGGAAACTGAGGGGATGCCCATCAATTGGGGAATGGCTGAACAAGATGTGGTATATGAATTTAATGGAATACTATTGTGCAATAAGAAATGATGAACAGGCAGATTTCAGAAAAACCTGGAAAGACTTGTATGAACTGATGCAAAGTGAAATGAGCAGAACTAGGAAAACATTTTACACAGTATCAGCAATATTGTGTGATGATCATCCATGAATGACTCAGCTCTTTTCAGCAACATAATGTTCCAAGACAAGTACAAAGGACTCATGAAGGGAAATGTTATCCACATCCAGATAAAGAACTGGATTCTGAATGCAGATCAAAGCATACCTTTTTCACTTATGTTATTCTTTTCCATATTTTTTTCATCTGTTTCTTCTTTCAAAATTGTGACTAATATGGAAATGTGTTTTACATGATAGCACATGCATAACCTATATCAAATTGCCTACCATTTTAGGAAGAGAGAGGGAGTGAATAAGAAAAATCTGGAATTCAAAATCTTGTAAAAATGAATGCTAAAATTCTCTTGACATGAAATTGGGAAAATGCTATTTTTAAAAAGTATGTTCATATAAATTCAAGAATTATTATTAAGTTTATACTGTGTGTTAGGCACTATGCTAGACATTGAGGAATAGAAAGAAAAAAAAAGAAACTGTCTCTGCCCTTATGAAGTTTATGTTCTACAAGGGAGATACAGCATATATACATGTAAGTAAACAGGAAGGAGAAAGAATTAACTGTGGAAACAAAATTATATGTGAGCATGATGCATTCCAGACATGTGAGACAGCGTGTACAAATGCTTATGGATAAAAATGAAATCTTGAATGAGGGAACAGAAAGTAATTCAGAGTAGTGGGAATGTAGAATATGTGAAAGAACATAAGATTAATTAACCTTGGAAAGTACAGTTAGGAGTCTTACTATGTAGAGCATTAAATTCCAAACTGAAGAATTTATATTTTATCCCAAAGGCAATAGGGGGATCTCTGAAGGTTTTTGTGCAGTGAATGACATATATGGTGTACAAGAACCAGCTTGAATGGGCACAGGAGAGCTGACTGTTAAACTTTCAATGTGAGAATTCATACCTAGGAAATCAGCAAAAGCTACAAATCAGGACTTAATGTATTGTTCCGTCAGTTGTCTATACTTAATAAAATAATGGAGAAAATGTTAAAAGTGTAAATTAAACTTAAAAGTGTGTTGTGCATGCATAACACCTCCACCTCCCACCCCACCCCAGAGCTGGCTGCTAAACATTTATCACCTCTAGTGACATGGTCAGACTGGTGCTATAGGAAGATCATTTAGTCAGCTGTGTAGAGGAAGTATTAAAGAGGGAGAAACAGGTGGTAGAAGAGACTAAATTAGAAGCCATTTAAAATAGTACAGTCAAAAAGTGATGAAAACTTGAACTAAGATGGTAGCCACGGGAATGGAGAGGAGATTGAAACAAGAGACACGTAATTAGAAATCATTGAACATAGGTGGTTTGAAGCTCGCAGGACAATAATATCCTCAGTTGAAATAGGAAAGGTTGGCAGGATTTAAGTTAGCAAGATAAGGAGTTCCTTTGGGGACACCCAGGTAGAGATTTCCAGTAGGTATTTGGTGAGTCAGGACTGGAACTCACATAGAGATCAGTGCTAGATATAAAAAATTTAGGAGCAATCTGCAAAGAGAGTATAATTGAACTTAAGGAACCTGAAGAGGTGACCAAAATTTTCCCTTTTTATAGGGAGAAGAGGGACCAAGACATAGCTTTGGTGGACATTCATGGTCAGGTGGATGATCATAACACATGAATGATAATACAGCAAAGTATATTGAAAAGGAACAGCTGGGTGGGAAGGAGAATAGGGGGAGATGAGTATCAGGAAAGCTAAATGAGAAAAAAGTATCTAGGAAACAGGGACAGTCAACAGTGTTGAAAGCTACAAAAATGTGGAGAAGGTTGAGAACTGAGAAAAGACCATCGGATTTAGAAATAAAAAGATCCTAGTCATGTAACCAGCAAGACTGCAGATTAATCACTTTCCCCAGATCCTTTTAATTTAAAATTAAAACTCTTCAAAAAAAAGGATTTTGGCATCAACGAATGAACAATTACAGCTGAATCCACTGGACAAAAAACGAGAGAACTCAGAAAAGGTAAAAAGCCTTAAAAATGAACAATGGAAATATCTAATTCCTAAAGAGCTCCCTCAGCATCTCTCTTCCACCGCCCTGCATGCTCTCATCAGAGGCACAAAGTGTATTCACAGGCTTATGCCTGGGGTTCATCTTGGGATGCTTGGGACCATGCTGACACACTCCTGTGACCTACCCACCTTTTACCCCAAAATGAGTAGCTATGTAAGGAGGGGAGGGGGTTGAAAATGTGTTCTTTTTTACTTGAATGAGATTTAGCCCTGGATTTTAGACCACCCACAGCTTCATAGACTGGCAAAAAACACCTTCTCTCTCCTCCATCTCATCTCCTGGCACCTTTCAAAAAGAGGCAGGCATTAATTTAACCTAGCCACAAAGAGGAAAGTGGGAGAGACAAAGGAAGAATTGGGGTAAAGGGTTAGCATGTATGACCACGATAACTTAAAAAAAGGTAAACAAAACCCAGATGGGGCCAATTCTTCTCCCTCACAGAGTATTCAGCTTACGGATGTAGGCCAGAGAATATTCCAATCTGTAGTGGCTGAGACAGCTTTGCAGCCCAGCCTCCAGGTTGCACAAACCAGAAAAGATGAGAATAATCAAAAAGTAACAGGGAAGTATAAAAAGTCTGAAACATCAAAAATTTCCAAGAAGCTAAACCTTCAATAAAAATCTAGAGCACAGGCACATAAATCAATTTGTTGTTGTTTAGTTGTTTTCCAACCGCATGTGACTCTTTGTGACCACATTTGCGGTTTTTTTGGCAAAGATACTAGAGTGGTTTGCCATTTCCTTCTCCAGCTTATTTTACAGATGAGGAAACTGAGGCAAATAGAGTTAAGTGACTTGCCCGGGGTCATGCAGCTAGGAAGGCCAGATCTGAAGTCAGGGAGATGAGTCTTCCAGGCTCTGGGCCTGATAGAATAGACTGTGCCACCTAGCTCCCCATGAAAATCAATACAGTGAAACAAACAAAAAAAATCCAGAAAGAAGGATAAGTACTAAATCTTCAAAAAGATCACAAAACTCTCTTAACAAATATTACAAGAGAAAAATAAATGAACCAATGCTTGGTGGAATGCAGATTCAGATGAACTCCTGAAAGATCATAGAACGATAACAAGTAACTCCATAAAGGTTCAAAAAAGAAAAGAGGTCCATAAAAATAAATTAGAAACAATAATAGCTCATTTGTAAAGTGCTTACTACATGCCAAGCAACGTGCTTTTACAATTGTTATCTCATTTAATCCTCACAACAACCTTGAGAGGTAGGTACTATTATTATCCCCATTTTTCAGATGAAGGAACTGAGACAAACATTTACCTAGGGTGACACAAACTTCGGTTTTCCTGACTCCAGACCCAGTCCTCTATCCACTGTGCCACCTAGTCAGTCAGAACTTAAGAGTGCCAGGAAAACAATTTGTAACATGACAGCATTTAAAGAAAACAATTTTGAAAGACTTATGAACTCTAATTAATATAATGACCGACCACAATTTCAGAGGAATGATGATGAAGCATGCACACATTTTCTGAAAGATGGACTCAAGATGCAGAAAACATACTTATTTTCAGAAATGGCCAATTCAGGGATTTGTTTTGCTTCACTATGTATATTTGTTACAATTCATTTTTCTTTTGTTTCCTTCAAAAATTTATGGAGAGAAATGGAAGTTATGGACGGAGTTGTCAAAACAAAGAAAGAGAGTCAATGAAGCATTTTAAAAAAGAACTGAAGGAATTAGACAAGTAAGAACATGTGACAGTAGTAGGCGACAAATATTAGTGTATGACAAATAAAAATCTGAAAACCATAGCATAGGAAATAATTTTTAAAATGGACTAGAACTTCAGAATACAGAAAATATAGCATTAATTGAGAGAATCTGTAGGCTGTCTCCAGGACAACAAAACCAAAATCTGCTCTTCAAACTCTAAGATGCATGGTGGTCAAATTTAATGGTTTCAATAGCAACAAATTCTAAAAGAGGCTAGGAAAAAGATATTTAACTAACTATAAAGAAAAGGAAACAAATAGCACAAAATAGTTTCACAGTGCAGAGAAATCACAGAAAGGAGTGGAATAGTAAATTCTGACAAAGAAAAGGTGTCCAATTTGTTATCCTAGATGACATACTATACTCTACAAAGTTGAACCTAACAGTCAACCTAACCCAATTTTTAGTCCCTCGCCACCCCCCCGACACACACCTGGTTCCTTCCCTCTAAGATTCTGAGATTATCCTCCAATTTATCCTGCACATATTTTGTTTGCGTGTAGTTGTTCATATTAGAATGTGAGTTCCTGGAGGGCAACACATATCTCCAATGTTTAGCACACTATCTGGCACATAGTACATCCTTAATAAATGCTTGTTGATTGATTTATGGGAACAACTTATCTAAGAAAAATCAGATCTATAAAATATCATCAAAGGGAAATCAGAAACATTGTATTTTCAGCTCCATTTGAAAGAATTTAGAGAGAAAAAGGAGAGGAAGACCCTGGTTGCTTTCCCAGATTTGTAGGGAGAGACCATTCAGTTCATTCAGGACCAATACTTCTTTCCATTCATTCACTTGTTCTATTTTCTTGTTGGTTCATCAGACACTTCCCTGTTCATCAGGGAAGGTGAACTGTTTCTGAATTTCTTCTCTCTATCCACCTCATAGTGCCACTGTTGCTATAAGTGAGGGAAAGCCTGACCACTTGCCCCTTCTCTCTTTCAATCATTCACCTTCTTTCTCTCTCTCAACTCCATCTTTCCTGGACTTTGTGTGGCAAACTTGAACAATACAAAAATATACAATATTTCATTAGCCAGGAAGATAAACCCAAATTACAAACCTTATATTTCTCATGGAGAAAACCCTGAGAGGACTGATTGATTACAACAGAATCAAAGACTCCTGTTATTCTGTGAAATAATGATGAGAGAATAGCATTTCAAAACAGACTGTAAAGGAAAAGAATAAAGAGATCAAAGCTAAGAACAACTTTTAAGAATAAGATGTGGTAAAAAGATAATTAACCAACATAAGAAATTTCAAAGACAGAAATGAGGAAGATTTTTACTGAACTTCATAATTGCAAAAGGGCAGGGATGGAAGGAAGGAGGTAAGGAAGAAAGGAGAGAAGGGAAGGAAGGAAGGGCCATCAACAATTCAAGCAAGTCTCAAAACCAGAGCTAGCATAGATAAACAGGAATTAGGGTGGGTGGGAAGAAAGAGAGCCTGCGGAGATAAAGCTGCATCAAAATAGTCTAAGCAAAACTATCACAGGGTTTAAGCATTGACTTAAGAGGAAGATAATTTTTTAAATTAAAAAAAATACTAAGAAAATAAATAGAAGAGGGAGAAAAGCTTAACTATCATTACTTTAACTGTGAATGAGCTAAACATGTTGACCTTGTGATATTATTATTAAGTATACACTCCAAAAAGACCAAAGAAAGAAAAAAAAAGAATCATATAATTTTTTAAAATGTATAAAACTCTTTTTGAGCTGGTTAAGAATGGAAACTAAAAGGGTTCTCATCAATTGGGGGATGGCTAAAAACATTATGCTATATAATTATATTAGAATATTTTCCTTTAAAGGATAATGAAAGGGAAGATTTGAGAAAAATCTGAGATGACTTATCTGAACTGGTGAAGAGAGAAGGGAGCAGAATTAGAACAATTTACACAATCACAACATTGTAAAGACAAACAACTTGGAATGAATTAATTCTTATCAATATAATGACCAGATACAGTGTCAGAGGAAAGATGATGAAGAACAGTATTTCTCTCCTGACAGAGAGCTAATCGATTCATGGTGAAGCATATAATATAATGAAGCACACAATTTTTGGATATGGCCAATGTAAGAATTTGTTTTACTTTAGTCTGTACACAAGTTACAAGGATTTTGCTTTTCTTTCTTTTTCCCTTTCATTCCTTCTTTCTGTTGTTGGGGAGAAGAGGATTGGAAAAGAGAAGAAATGAGATGGAGTTAAATCAGCTTTTGTCAATTGTAAAAATAAAATTAAACTTTAAAATACACGGAAAAATTATGAAACTTAATAAAAAGTATAGTACCTCATCTTTTCTTCCAGTAGTCTTCTGTAAATCTGGCAGAGATTTGCTCTTTATGACTCTTAACTTTGGCTGTAAAAATGTAAAATGAAAAAAAAATAAACTGACTGATGAAATTGAATTTACTTGATACTTAACAAGGACTAGATGTGTCATTTCACTGATATAAGGAAAACCCTGGTGAGGAAACTCTCTCTACTAAAACAGGTTAAACTTCTTCTCTGTAATTTAAAATCTTAGAAAGTTGCCCAGAATACTGAGAGATGAAATGACTTGCTCAGGGTGGTCACACAGCCAAAATATTTTGGTAACAGAACTTGAACCCAGTTTTTCTCGGTTCCAGGGCCAGCTATTTTCTATATCACAGCTGCCTCTTTTATACTTTATAGATTCTAAATACAAATAGAATATTTAATGATAATAATAGTTAACATTTATATATAGAACCTAGTATGTTCCAGATACTGTGCTGAGAACTCTGCAAATGTTATCTCATGTAATATTTTCCAGAACATACTTCTTCTTGTGGATGATCTCAAATGGCATTACACACACACACACACACACACACATATATATATATATATATATATATATATATATATATATATATATATAATATATATATATATATATATATATTATATATATATATACATATGTTAGCTTATTCAGAAAAATACCTGCTAAAAATTCAAAATATTTCACTTACTTAAGAAACAAATTACTGTGAATTTCTAGATCCTATGGAGGGGAAAATGTTTCATAGTATAAAAGTATTAGGCCAACAAGGGGAACACTAATCCAAACTAAGATTTAGAATGTTAAAATTAGGATGTAATATTTAACTGTAACTCATATATGCACAGTAAATTATTCAAACAAAAGTTCTCAAATTATATAAAAATGTTCATTTTAAATGCTGGTAATGTGGGAGGGAAGTCGGCAGTTATATACAGAATTGAAGGAAGAGAGGATGGCTTATGATTCAAGAGCAGGTCATCGTCACCAAAAATGAGAGAAAGTGTATTGATACAGATTATGCAAATACAAGGTGGAAACTATACAACATAACACTAAAGGCTGCAAAATGTTAGCATCCACTGGATATTTAGAAAGACACAATCAGGTGGCTATAACTATATAATAGAAGCTATTCTTTCTGAACTTACAGATGACAAATTCTCATACTACAAACACAAACCCCCTAGATTTCCTTGAGAATTCAACAAACTGTGGCACAAGTAGAAGGAATTGTTTCTCACAACTGTCTGAATATGTTATCACAAAAAATTTAACAACTTTTGTTTTGCTTTGTCTTTGTATGTTGTAAGTTTTTGCTGCTGCTGCTACCGCTGCTGCCGCCATCACTGTTTTGGTCAAAATTGTGATTTCAATAGTGTAGGAAGCTAAGAGAATTGCTTTGAGCTCTAAGAGAGTATGTATGTATCAGAGGCAGGATTTGAAACAAAGCTATTCTTTCGAACTAACAGATGATAAATTTCCCTACAAATCACTAAAATTCCTTGAGAATTCAACAAACTGTGGCACAAGTAGAGCATCAATACAGAAGAAATTATTTCAAGTAAATGCTAGTATTATCCTAATTTTACAGATGAGAAAAATGAGGCTGAGAGGATTTGCCCAGGGTCACACAGCTAGTAAGTATCTGAGGTAGGATTGGAATTTAGGTCTTCTTAACTGCAAGTTCAGCTTGCTATCCATTAAACCACTAAGCTGCAGTCTTCTGAAGTTGTGCTTGATCATCGTGTTGATTAATTAAGTCTTTCACAGTCATTTTCCTTTACAGTTTTGTAGTCAATGTATATAAATTGTCCTCCTGATTCTGCCTGGTTCACAGATCCAACTATGTGTAAACTGGGTTTCAAATCAATCTATGAGTATTTTGCAGGCTGCATATGCATGATTCCAAATCGGTGGAGAGAATGCTGAGTGACATTATGTGTGAGGGTTTGAGTTGGTATAAGAAATTTGGAAAGAAAAAAAAACATTCTTTATTCCTTCTTTAAGAGACATATCTATGGTTCCAGACTCTCTTGGGATTATATCCAGACATGTGAAGGGAGAGACATGTAGGGGAAGCTAGTTCTTTAATATGTCTCTGATTTTCAGCTTGTCTTCCTTGAGACTTCAAGAAATATCTAATTTAGTGAAATCAAGGCCCCTCTCTTGGCTGAGCAGATATCTCATCTCTTTCTGAGCTAAAGAGCTCATTCACTTTGTGTATTTTCTGATATATCCTAATTTGTATAACTTCTCTGATTTCTATTTGTTATTTGCTTGGATAATTGGGTTTACTCACTATTCACTATTTATACTGGTCTTTTGTATAACTGTATTTTGTGGAAACGAACAGAGCCCACAAATATAAGACCGAAGTAACCCTTTCCCCTTAGAGTGACCAGGGGATTAGCTTTTTGTTATGAACTAATAGTGCCTTGGTCCAAAAATATTTAGTAGGAGCAAATAGATATAATTCCAGTCCAGTGGTGCTCTCAGAGACTGGAGACCAGAGTGACCCACATAAAGGTTTCCCTCCACCCCCATTCCCCTCAAGTCAGGAATCATACTATCCCTTGGAAAGGAGTAGATACCAGAAATATCTATTTTTGCCAATTTTATGGGTGTGATGTGGAACCTCAGAGTGTTAATTTGCATTTTTCTTATTAGTGATTGGCAGGTTTTTTTTCCATATAGTTGTAGAGAGCTTGCCTTTCTTTTTTTTGAAAACTACTTATTCATATCATTTGACCAGTTCTCCATTAAGGAACAGACTCTTACTCTTATATATGTCTTGGATATTGAGCATTTATCAGAGAAACATTCTATAAAGATACGTTTTCCAGTGTACTATCCCTTTACTTTCCCTTCCAGTTGATTCCCTTCATTGATTTTGCTGCAAAAATTTTTCAATTCTGTAATCAACACTGTCCGTTTTCTTCCAGGTGATCCTCTCCATCCTTTGTTTGATCCAGTACTCTTTCCCTATCTCCTTCCATGCTTTTCTAATTTGTTAATGACATGATTTTTATATATTGGTAATGCATTCATTTTTATTATGTTGGAATAGTTCAAACACATGCAACTAATATCTCTCCAATTATTTAGGAGTACTTTTTTAAATGTAGTGTATTTGTATCATTCCTAGGTTAGTAGCTAGACTTCCAAATATTAATAGAGTCTCTAGTTATTTAAAATAGAATTGCTTTTTAAATTCTCTGTCTTCTGGGATTTCTAGGTAAAATATAGAAACTCATGGCTTTTTGTAGGTTTATTTTAAATTCTGCTACTTTCTTAAGTCAATGTTTTCAACTAATTTTTTGATTAACTCTTGGGTTCTCTAGTTAAATCTCTAGTTAAATTATCTGAAAAAACCCCCCAAAAAACAAAACAAAAAAAAAGAGTAATTGTGTTTCCTCTGTGCCTGTGCTTATTCGCCCAATTTTTTATTCTTGTTTTATTGCTAAAGCTAGAATTCTAAAACTGTATTAAATAATAGTGGTGAAAAGGGACATCTTTGCCTTACTTCTGATCTTATTGAAAGGCTTCTAGAGTTTCTTCACTGAAGATAACATACATTCTTGGTTTTAGATGAATATTATCTATCATATTAAACAATATTATACTTATTCCAATGCTTTTAATGTTTTTCTAACATAAAAGAGTGCTGTGTTTTGTTAAAAAAAAAAACTTTTCCTGCAATTATTGACCTACTTAAAGTTAATAGTTATAGATTTTTATTGTTTGTTATTAATATAGTATATTATGTTTATAGTATTACCAAAATTGAACCAATTCTGCATATCTAGTAAAGAATTAACCTAGTAATAATGAATTATTTTTTTTAAATGTAGGAAAGTAGCCACTTGACTAATGTTTAGTCAAATATTATTTTATTAATTATTATCTCTAGAGATATTGGTCTCTAGTTTTCCTTCTCTGCTTTGACTTTTCCTGGTTTAGATATCAAGATGATATTTGCTTCATAGTTTTATAGAATCCTTTCCCCATTTTTGCAAGCAGTTTACATACTGCCGGAAGTAATTTTACTTTGAATATTTGATAGAAATTACTTATAAATTAATCTGGTCCGAGGATATTTTTCTCTGGGAGTACCTTTATGGCTTTTTCAATTACCCTTTTCTGAGATTGCCATTTGGTACAAAAATATTAAGCACCGATTTAATTTCATTATCTATTATGCTTTTAAGGATATTCTATTTATATTTTAACAATGTCTATTTTACAGTTGCTTCTCCTGCTTTTTTTTTGCATTTGCCTAAAGAAGAATAGATTTCATTCCAGCCTCTCATTTTAATTCTTTGTGAATCTTTGTTTTGAGTACATTTCTGATAAACATATTGTAGAGAAGGAAGCAGAGAAGTAGAAACAATCTGATTCACACTAGTAATATATAATTGAAGCATGGATAGAATGCTGGACCTGGAATCAGGATGTCTGGAGTTCAAAGTTGGCCTCAGATACTTATTATTGTGGGCCACCCTAGGCAAGTCACTTAATCTCTCTCTGCCTATGTTTCCTCAGCTGTAAAATGGTGTCATAATAGCACTACATTGAAAGGTTGTTGTGAGGGTCAGACGAGACAATATTTCTTTGTAAAGCACCTGGCACAGTGCCTGGCACACAGTAGGGGCTATATAAATGCTTATTCCCTTCTCTTCTTTCTGTTCCTTTGCCATAACTTGTCAAGACCACAAACTGTGGTTCTTTGGTTTTTTCTCTCTTTATTATGCCCCTTTTATTGATTGAATCTCTGAATTTTAAGTTTATCTTGGTTGCGAATATCTCCTCCATGACTGTACCCTGCTGTTTGTGTGTGTGTGTGTGTGTGTGTGTGTGTGTGTGTGTGTATGTATGAGACCTTCCTTTAGTTGACTCAGATAGGAGTGAGGTTCTTAGATGCCCATTCCCCCATTCCCTCCATGTTTATATACTCTTTATTTCAAGTACCTCATTTATGTGAAATGTTAAATTCTTCCACTTTCTTCCCTAGTGTTTTCCTTTTTCCATACCTTATTTCTTTAAAACAA